CCAAGGCATTAGGCAACGTACCCCCAAATAATGGATGATAGAGCCTGAACAAAGCTCAGGAGGGAACTTGGTGAATGGGCAGGGAAGAATGTTCTGGGTAGAGACAACAACCTGTGCAAAGGTCTTGAGGTGGTAGACAGCTTGGGGCTTGGCTGCAGAAGTCATGATCTTGTGGGCTGTAGCCAGACATGAGTGTTTATCTTGAAGCCACAGGAGGGTTTTAAATGGGGATAGTGACAAATTCAGATTTGGAATTTAAAAGACCCCTTTGGCATGTCAAAAAGTTACAGGGGATTGTTGAAGGGGCTTTCACTGGCTAAACCTGGGAATATTCATGCCTAAAAATAAATAATGATAGTAATAGATTATAACCTATAGAATAAAATAGAAATCCCTGAGGCTATGCTGAAAGACATACATACATACATACATACATACATACATACATACATACATACATACATACATAAATGGTGGAGAAGGGACAGCTCTTCCCTACAGTAGAATGCCACGAATAAATATAGAAGGAATGATACAAATAGAAAATCACCATTTAGTAACCATCCTAATAATAGATTCAGGCAAAAAATCACCAATAGATACTAAAACTAGTGGGTAAAGTCTGATACACAGGATATTTACAGTCTCAGAAAATCATCCAAAAAGATACAGTAGTTTCTCCCCTCACTATCTGCTGTTTCACTCTCCAAGGCTTCAGTTACCCGTGGTCAACCACAATCCAAAAATATTAAATGGAAAATTTCAGAAATAAATAATTCATAACTTTTCAATCGTGTGCTATTCTAAGTGGCGTGATGAAATCTTTTGCTGTCCTGCTCTGTCCTTCCTGGGATGTAAATCATCCCTCTTTGTCCAGCGTATCCACTCTGTGTATGCTACCCTCCCACTAGTCACTTAGTAGCCTTCTCCATGATCAGATCAACTGTCACAGAATCACAGTACTTGTGTTCATTGAACCCTTATCACAATGCCTACATCATTCACCTCACTTCATCCCATCACATTGTCATTCTATCATCTCACATCATCACAAGAAGGGTGAGCACAGTACAATACGATATTTTGAGAGACCACATTCATGTAACTTACTATAGTACAATGTTATAATTGTTCTATGTTATGATTGGTTATCATTGTTAATCTCTTACTGTGCCCAATTTATAATTTAAACTTGTTCATAAGCATGTATGTATGTATGTACGTATAGAAAAAAAATAGCATATATAGGGTTTGATACTATCTGTGGTTTCAGGACTGGGGGTCTTGGAACATATCCCTTGCAGATAAGGGGGGACTACTGTACTTACTAATACAAAGGAAGAAAAGAGTTACATTATAGTGGAGAAACCTGGCTGACTGCACCTTAACCAAATGATCAAAGATAACATCACCAGTAATAAGACAAACTAACATGTGTCTCCTGACTCAGTGCACTGAGAAAGACACACCATCACTTTAGTGGTACTCTTGCCCAAAATGCTTAACCTGGAAACCTCAAACCCAACTCAGGGACATTCTGTCAAACAACTTTCCTATGCTCTTCAAGAGTGTCAAGGTCATGAAAAACAAAGTCTGAAGAAGTGTTCCAGGCCAAAGACTACAGAAACATGAACCCATCATCCTGGATTGTATCCTGGACCAGAAAAAGAAGTACTATTTTTTGGTTATAAAGAGTATCATTGGGACAACTGGTGAGACTTGAATGGGTGCATGGATTAGAAGGTAGTGATGTCTCAGTGTTATTTTCTTGATATTGACAGCTGCACTGTGGTTTGTCCTTACTTGATTTAGTAAACATACACTGGAGAATTTAGGGGTAAATGGACATCATGCCTGCAATTCACACACACAGTAAAAAAAATTTCATAATTAAGTATGCAGGTAGGGGAAAATTCAAGAAAATTTATTTTAAAAAAATATTTACCACTAAGGGACCTTGGGTGAAGGGAAGCAAATTTTTAAATTTATTTCTGCAACTTCTCTGTGAGTTTAAAGTTATGTCAAAGTAAAGAGTTAAAATGAAAAACGAAAATAGCCCCTTGAGTGCTGTGTGGGGAATGGACTATAGGGGTGGAAGCAGGGTGGCCAGGTGGAAGAATGTCCACGCCAAAAATGCAGGTGGCTGGGGACACCTCAGGATGCCCTCTCCAGAACAGAAGCTCCCCTCCCAGGTCCTCTGTCCCCTTCCCCAAGTCTGTACCTGGGGGAGCCAAGCAGACGGAAGGTGAGGGTGGGGTCTCTCAGCTCCTGCAGCAGCTGGGGGAAAAGATGTGTGTGTCAGCATTTAGAAGACTCCCCCCTCTCCCTTAAACAGAGCAGGGGCTCGTTTTCTGAACGTCTAGCCTCTCGTCCAGAAATAATCATTCTTGCTAACACCACTCACCAGTTGTCTGACCCCAAGCAAGTCAGTTAACCTCTCTGTGCCTCAGATTACTAACCTATGAAATCATAGCACTTACCTACTAGGTGACCATGAAAATAAAATACAACATCAACATGTAAGGGCACAGTGAGACACATAGTATTCTATGAGCTGAGTACCATTTTTCATTCTATTTTCCAGATGAGAAAAAGAAGACACATGAAGATTGCCATTTGCCTAAGATCTCTCAGCTGGATTCCAGCCCAGGCAGTCTGGTCCATGCTCTTAACCCACATATCTCTATATTAACCCCCGTTTTATAGTTGGGAGACTGAGGCTCAGAGAGAAGCAAAGTCCCCTGTGCAAGATCACACAATGGCCTGGGATAAGCTCTGGACCCAAGAGACCCTGGGGTAGCAAAGGGGACCTGCCTGAACTGAAATGGGAAGACGTTTCTCCTCCAGGACTTCACGCCCTGACTCAGTTCTCCCCGTCCATCTCATGAATGAGATGCCTGAGGTGGGAGGGGCGGGTTGTGGGTCTTGGGTGGAGGAACTTACCTGGTCAGAGCCTAGAGCCCACACCTGCACTCCGTGCTTCCAGAAGGCCTGGAGCCGCCCCCCGACCATAGCTGGGAGGAAAGCAGTGCCTGTTACCGTTGGGTATCATCACTTGAGCCTCCACTCTGGATCCCGGGCCCTCCCATCCCTGCACGTACCCACGGCCTCCACTGCTTCCGTCATGGGGATCTCAGGAGTTCGAAGCCCCCGGATTGGGGCTCCCTCCGGAGTCACCAGCTTCAGAGACCCTAGAAGGGGGTAGAGGGAGGGCTTACAGAGCGGGGCTTAGGAGGTTACCGAGGGGCTGAACAATAAATTCTGTGTGAGAAGCAAAGCAGGACACGGGCAAGCCCTGGAGGGACTCAGCGTTTCTGGGAGCCACAGGGTGTGGAGGGCGGAGATCCAGGAATAGTGCGGGGAAAGAAAGGGAGGAGGGTCCTTACCGTCCATCAACACCATCACCTTGTCTTCCTCTACCTGAGTCACCTGTACTGGTCCCTTGTGATCTGTTTGAGAGAAGGGGGTTCAAGGACCAATTCCTCCCTGTTCCACTTTCCTCCACTAAGTAAGTACCTTCTCCAGTTCCCAAGCAAGTAGGCTAAACCCTGCCCATCTTAGCGGCCCCGCCTCGTCATCGATCTCACCAGTTGTTCATACCTGCCTTTCTCCCTGACGCGCCCAACTTCAGGTTCAACCCCCTTCCCAGTTACGCCAGGCTAAGCACTGCCCAGCCACCAAGACCCCCCCCCATTCCAGCAGCCGCGCCCCCAGCGAGACCCTGCCCCACTCACGCGTGCTCATCTCTCCCAGCCAGCAGGAAAGCGCGCCGAAGCGCACAGTGTGGAAGAGCACCGACTTCGCTGGCCGCCCGGGGCTCACGCCAATGCACACCGCGGGCAGCTCTGAGCCTGGCCCGGTCAGCAGCGCGAACACAGGCAGAGGCGTGGGTAGCGGGAACAGCACCTGCTGCGGGGCGCACGGGGAGGGGCGCACTCAGAGGCTTGGGGCGGGGCCTGTGAGCGTTGCCTTGGAAGAGTGGGCATGGGG